CTCAATTGCTTGGATTATGCCACCATGCCCAGAAATATTTTCTGTCTTTTGTTCTTCTTATTTTGTTTTACTATAGCTAAATACTTATTTTCTTTTTAAATACTTTATGTGTATGAGTGTTTGTCTGCATGTATGTAAGTGCACCACATGTTTGTAACGTCCATAGAGGCAAGAAGAAGGTGTTGGATGCCTTGGAACTGGAGTTAGAAAGAGTTGTAAGCTACCATGTGGGTGCTAGGAACTGAACCCAAGTCCTCTACAAGAGCAGCCAGCACTCTTAACTGCTGAGCCATCTCTCTAGTCCCCAGTATATGTTACTTAAACACTTTTATAAAATCAATTGATTATTGTAAACCCAGACAATAAACTCAGATAAAAAAGGACTTTCTAGGGACAGGGCCCTAATCCAGAGAAGAGATGTTGATGAGGGCTGGGATCCCCACCCCCCTTAGGGCACATGGGCCTCAGCAGCAGCAGCCTTCTGCAGTCTCCCTCTTTTTTCCAGGAACAAGCATCCCTTGGTGAGAGTGGGGTGGTGGAAGAACTGTATGGTCCAAGTGGCTCATTTGTCTGGAAGGAAAATTCCAGCTCACCCATGTTCCCTGGGCCTGCCTGTGTGCAGAGGCTGAGAGACAGGAACCTACAGGGGCCTGGAAAGACCAAACCTACCCCCAAACTACTTTTTAAATCTTTACCAAACTTTAATGAGGTGGGATGGAAAGATAAGAAGAGCTGAGGACACAGGGAAAGAAAGAACCCCTCTCCCCCACACCTGGCCGACTTCAGCCTCTTGCTGATGGAGTCAGAGGTTTCCACATAGTTGACTAGAAACTGCCTTACACAGAAACCATGCAAAGAATTATACGCCCTTCCTAGAAATACCACAAACAAGATTATTAGCACAGCTAGTGAAGCATGCTTGGGATAAAAACATATGCCTTAATGTCTTGGTGTGACTCATGTAGAGCAAAATGACTTTAATTTTTTTCATACTGTACTGTGTTTTTGTCTTAGCCCCATCTCTTCCTCATGCATGAGTCTGAGGAAGTTAACCTCGAAACAAACAAAGAAACAAACAAACAAGCAAACAAGCTTCAGCTGGGCATGATGGTACAGATCTTTAACCTCAGCACTCAGGAGACAGAAGCAGGCAGCTCTTTGTGAGTTCAAGGACAGCATGGTCTACATAGTAAGTTTCAGGCCAGCCAGGGCTGTAGAGTGAGACACTGTCTCAAAAAAACCATAAAAACCACCTGTATTTTTCAAAAGTGAATAGGCTAGCACATTTTTGTTTTTCTCCCTTGGCCTTAGTTATAGGTTGCTTCCTTTAAATGCAACTCTAAGAGGGACTGGAGAGATGGCTCAACAGTTAAGAGCACTAGCTCTTGTAGAGGACCTGAATTTCGTTCTCAGTACCCACATGGTGGCTCAAAAGATGTCTCTAATTCCAGTTCCGGGGAATTCAACACCCTCTTTTAGCCTCTGAGAGCATTGCTTGCACATAGTACATATACATACATGCAGGCAAAACACTCATATACATAAAGTAAAAATAAATAAATCATCAAAAATATTTTAGAATGTAACTCTAAGAGCCTGAACCCCCTGTGTGCTATTGATAAAGCACTTTGGTGTGTTCCGATGCCCTCACTTCACTCTGCTCAAAGTATGTCTGTCCTTTCTCCTAATCAATTAACTCTGATTGTGTTTCACTCTGACTTCTGAAATTCTTTTCTATAATGTAAGTCACGATTGCCCTCTAAATTTGTATCTCTGCCTATAGATTAGTGGCGCTCTCAGATCACATTAGAGAAGTTTGTGCTGCGATGGTGGTTAATGCAGAAACTCACAACTGGTCAAAGTGCAGAGAATAAGTGACCATGGAGTGCTCAGTCACAGATGGGACATCTCTATCACACCCCTCCCCAAGGCTCAGGGACCATTGTGGAAGAAAGGGACTGGAAGGTTGTAAGAGTCAGAGGCTGAGGAGATATGACAGGATTGCTACACCCATGAACTCACAGCAGCTGTGGTTGTCTGCACAAGACCTGCACAAGATCAGGCCAGTCAAAATTCCAGCATGCAGTGGGAAGGGTTCATGAGCCTCCACCCTTAACTGAGGAACTATGGACAGCTGAAAGCTTCTGAGGGAGGGAGAGTCAGTTTTCTTAAAGGATTCCTGATAGGTTGATCACACTCCAGTGGATGGCCTCATAACCAGAAGTATATGGACAGGACAAATTGGAGTCCATGGGTTATTAAATCAAAAAAAGAGAGAACATGAATGGGAAAGAGTAGAGAAGTGGGGGTGGATCTGGGAGGAGTTAAAAGGAGGAACTAGGAGTGAATATGATCAAAATACATTATATGAAATTCTCAAAGAAAAAAATTTTAAAACAATACCATCTCCTGAGTAGAGGCCCCTGGAACTTGATGGGCACTCCTCAAACTGTGTTCAGCAGTGTTCCCCACTGGCTATTGGTGACACTGAGATTCACTTAGCTCTCCCCTTCCACCCAGCACTTTGTATTCATTCTCTTGGGGACGCACAGCACCAGAAAGGCCTGGAGTCCAGGGGCAGGAATCAGATCCCCAGCTCCCAGAGGTCTGGCTCCTTAGCCCCATGAGCTGATGCATGAGGCAGTCAGGCCACAGCTCCTTTTCAGTCTGGCACATTGACTAATGATGTTGTAAAAGTCACTTGGAGCTCTTCTGTCTCATCTGTACTAAGTTCAGGTTCCCAGGACTGATGCGGGGGTGAAAAGGCAAACTGTGTGCTACAGTCAGCTAATCTTGGCATAGCAATTGTTGGATAAGTGGTGGTCAGGGCTCTGTGATCATGATCAGGTGATCATGCTTCATCTCTGTGACTTTCACAGTTTCATCCACCACGACAAAACATGTCTGAGGGGATGTCATCCACCTAAAGTCTGTAAGGCCCAGAATGAGATGGGGAATGCAGACTCCTGATTCCTAAGACTAAGACAAAGAAAACCCCAGTCAAGGATAATCCTGTCTGCAATGTGAGTTTCGTTCTTTGCAGGGTGGATGGGGTGTTGCCCCCATTCCATGCCACTGTCACAATCAGGAGAGAAGGGTGTCACAGGCTCCGGATAGCCTCTAAAGCCAGAACTCTTGGGAGGATGGGTAGGCAGAATGTGGCTAGGCCCTGTAGTTGGTCGGGTTTTCCCTGGCATGTCTCAGCTACCCCTGAGTAGCAGCCAGCCTGTGAGTCAGAGCTGCCCCACAACACCACTCCTCTCCCCATTCACAGCCACAGCCACAGACTCCTGGAGATGGTCCAGGGAGGTCTGCAACTCTAAAATGAAGTGGCCCGCACATCCAAACAAAGATGCTCTTCCCTCAGACAGAGCAAGGAAAGGCCCAGAACACAGTGAGGCTGTGACAGGCCTCAGGGTGAACCCTGTGTCCATCTCAAGTGACCTCGCCAAGAAGCCTTCCAGGAGGACCTGGAAGGCCCAGCTGAGCTTGGTATTCTCACTCTCTGCTCGGTGACTCTATTGCCCTTCATCCTGTGCTGTTGCTAGTGTCCCGTGGGTCTGGGCTCAGCAGGGGAACCTACAGCCAGGACCCAGCAGAGGCCAGGATGCCTACTTCATAACAGCCTCACAACATCTGGGCTGCTGCAGCCACGTGGGTGTACACCCTTCAGCCGTAGCAGGGTCACTCCCCTCCCCTGGCCTTACCCTAGCATGCTGTCCTCCATCTCTCTTCCCTCTCTCCCCACCCTCTCTCCTTCCTGCTCTCTGGCACCCTTGCTCTGCCCTGCTCCTACCTGGGTCCCAGCGATGACTTTCCAGGACATAGGATTCAGGCTCTGGTGAGTACCTCTCACAGGCCACCCTCGGCTTCAGTCTGGCTGTGGGCAGGGAGAGTGACCCAGCTTAGTGGCCAAGCCAGAGCACATGGTGGGGCAGCCCGGGGCGGGCGGAGGGAGTGGTAGCTAAAACAGTTCTGCCAGCCCACACTCTCCTGCTGGATGCCCCAGCCTGGAAAGCCTTACTCCACACCTGGGAAATCAAGCCTTGTTGGTGGTCACGTGTCCCAAGGATGAGAGAAAATGAAACTCTTTAAAAATGAAGAATGTGGGGCTGGAGAGATGGCTCAGCAGTTAAGAGCACTGACTGAGTGCTCTTGCAGAGGACCTGAGTTCATTCCCAGCACCCCTAACAACCATCTGTAACTCCAGTTCCAGGGGATACAACTCTTTCTCCTGACCTCCATGGGCACTGCATGACATGGTTACACTTATACACATATAGGCAATACACTCATACACATAAAAATTAAAATAAAATTAATAATAGATAGATGATAGATAGATAGATTAGATAGATGATAGATAGATAGATGATAGACAGACAGACAGATAGATAGATGGGGGGAGGTCTTCTTGAGACAGGGTCTCCCTGTAGCCCCAGCGGGCCTGGAACTCACTATGTAGACCAAGCTGGCCTTGAACTCACAGAGATCCGCCTGCCTCTGCCTCCCAAGTGCTGGGACTAAGGGTGTGTGCCATCACACCCAGACTTTAAAAAAAAAATGAAGACTGTGAGGGTCAGAGTTGAGGGGACCTGTCTGGGATAAACTCTGTCTGCAGTTCTGGACACAGGGACCCAAACCTAAGAGATCAAAGAGTCTTTCAGTGAGAAGCACCAAGTTTAATATTAAAATCTTTCCCTTAAAAAAAATTACACAGATAGGAAAACTTAACAGCATACAAAATAGCACTTCTGATGTATAAATGTGAGTTACTGTGAGGCCTAAAAATACTTGTAAACCTAGGTGATTACATCTTTGGTACCGTTGTGAGAAGCTAATCCACCTGGCTCCAAGGCTCTGAGCAGGAGGCTTCACTTCCCTTATTCTGGGGTTCCAGCCCATCCCTCCTGGTGGTCTCTGTTGCAATCCTTACTCCCTGCGCACCTCCAGTGTCCACCAGTTTGGGGACAGAGAGGTATCATTGCTAGACCCAGGCAGTGACAAAAAACCAAACTCCTATGTGGTGCTGCCTCGGGCTGGAGCAGCTGGTGGTTGAGACGGCACCCCCTGACCCCAGCACCTTCTCTTATGTCCTACGTGGAACACACATGTCCTCATAGTTCATTGTGTCTGTCACATTCCTGGTGGCCTGAAATGACCTATCTTCTCCTCTCTGCCCCTCTTGCTCAAGCTGGCTCCAGAGTTCATTATGGTGTGAAAGAGGTCTTGGTCTTTCTGTGTCCCCTGCGGCAGCTGTGGGGGCTTTCCAGGACACTGGCTGTCACTCCAAGTCAAGGTCTGGGCAGCGGCTCTTGGGGGCTCAGTTCCTGAATGCTCAGGAATATAGTGTATGTCTGGAATCCCCCCAGATCCCAGCTGACTCCAAGAAAAGTGGCTTAGGGACTTGCTCTTGCTTCATCTGGACAGGTGTGCAAAACCCTGGATGATTCTAAAATAGTGGTGTATTCAGAGTTAATGAGTCCAACTTGCTCCTTTTTCAAAGAGGGAAAAAATTGGGCCCAGAAACGACAAGGGCATCCTCCGAGACCCAGGGCAGAGTCAGGGCCTCCTGTTGGTGCTCACCTAACGCTGGCACTAAGCATATCACAGATGTGCTATGGGCCAGCAGACTCTGGTGGACCGATCAACTGAGAATGATGAGGGAAAAGTCCCAGGACTGATGGGGGTGGGTGTGCCCCAGGTGCTCTGGGCAGGGGCTACAGGCCAGAGTATCTTGTACTCAGCTCAGCCCTCAGCACTGACAGCATTCATTAAGCATAACTGGCCCCAGACCAGCTCGGGCCTGGGAAAGCAGAGACTGGCACCAGGAGAGGTGGGTTCTGAATGAAATGACTGTCCAAGGCCTGCCACAGCTCGGCGAGTAGCCGGGGGTACCAAGTCCTTGCCCAGTTCTCAGGAAGATCAAAGCGGAGGGATAGAATTGAGGGGGCAGCTGGCTGCACAGAAAGACGTGAACATACCTTTTTAGATCTCAAGACTCTCTCCAGGAACTCCAGGTTCTGTACCTGTCTGGCAGCTAGGGGGAGCCTAGACTGTGGGTAATCAAACCCAACTTCTCTCACATTCGGGGAAACTGTGTCTCCTGGGGAGGCCCAGCTCAGAGTCCCAATGCCTCCCCAAGGCAGAGGCTTAGTCCCTGCTGTGTTCTTGCCTCCTAAGCTAAGCCGGCCCTGTAGACTCGGGGTGCTGCCTATAGGGGGCAGGAACCTTCGAAGTGACAGCTGGTGACAGCATGGCTGCTGGGAAGCCAGGCCAGGAGGGTTGGATGCTAGGAGGCAGATGGGAGCTTCAGGCAGGGCAGGGTAGGGCCAGCCCCTACAGGAAGCTGTCCTCTGCTTCAGCCAGAGATCCAGGGCATTTAGAATCTTGTGGCTGCTCCAGCTCTGCCTCAGGCTCTGTTTGGGGCTCCGGCTGGGAATCCTGCTCTGACTCTTCTTGGGGGTCCAGGGGGCTGTCACAGGAGATGGTTGAGGAAGTGTTGACTTCATTCAAGGTGGAGCTAGAGGAAGGAAAGCAAGAGAGTAAAGAATTGGGGAAACCCCAGGAGAATAATAACAGCGTTATGCAAGAGTTTCTCCATATCTGAGTTTACACTCTAAAAGGCTTGCACCACAAGGGATGCATAGCCCAGAAAGCTTATACCATCACTCCACCACATACAGCAGGTGAGTACAGGGGCTGGGACTTCAGAACAGGTCCAGCTGGCTCACCCCAAACCGCATAGTCTCCATCCAGGAGATGTTAGCCCATTCCTGCCCTAGGAGAAGCCCTTTTACTGTTTTCACTTTACAGAAAAGAAAATGAGTTCAGAGGTGCGGTGGAGCAGCTTGTCTGAGGTCACAAAGTGGAGTCAAGCTGTTTGAATTCTTGAGTTGAATTCTGTACAGTCTACCCCCAACCTTGGAATGTTGACCTCATCAAGAGTCAGAACAAAGGGGGCCTTCAGGGCCTGCTAAGGCCTGTGTGCACTACTAGTTCTTATAGGGAAACAGGCTCACCGAGGTAAGGCCTACCCACATCTCATAGTGACAGACTGGAGCTAGAACCCAAACTGTAGCTCCTGATACTTCTCCATGAGCTAGAACTCAATTTGGGGGTGGGTTGGCCTCAGGGGAGCCCCCTCTCTAGCTAAACATCAGACCAGGCAGCAATGGGTCTCCTTTAGGGCTCGCCCCATAATGCAGTCTACCAGGAGAAGCCATCTGCTCTTCCCAGGCCTGAGTTCTAAACTAAACTTAGAGCACCTGTGTCTCCTACAACCAGACTCCCTGCGGCCCTCTGGGCATGGTATCAAAGCTAGAGATGTCAACATTTTCTTCTTGTCCTTGGAACTAGTGCAGGGCCTAGAATGGGGCCTGTGGGGACACTCTTAAGAGGAAGAGCTACCTTGCAAATAGGTCCCCAAACATCTTGCTTCTTTCCAGTCTGCGATTCCCACCCAAGGCTTCAAGGGCTGAATGAGCTCCTGCCTCTGTTATCCACTGGCAAGATCTGGATAATTGACAATGATGGGGCAAGCCTGGCACACATCAATGGGAACACACGCACTGTGCACAAGAGTGCCTAGGGCCTCAGGTCTGGGTGGCTACCTGGCCAGGCTAGGGGAACTCTCCAGGGGGCCCTCCTCAGCAGTGTCTGGCTTGGGGTCAGGCAAGGGGATGATGTAGTCGTTGTCACCCTCATTGGGCTGCACAGCAGTGTAGAGAACAGAGCTGGTGTCCAGAGGGGATCGAAGGCCATGGAATCCAGGTAATCTGGCTTGGGAGCGTAGGATGGCTGGGTGGTCACTCCTCAGAAACTCCTCATCTACTTGCTGGTACTTCTGCTCCGCAGGACAGAGTGAAGGAGAAGATGGGTATGAGATGGGAAATGCCTTAGGATCCACTAACCCAGTCAGTGCTCAGAAAGGAAGGGGTTCCACCCAATTCTGCACTGCTGAGCTGCCCTCCAGTTGAGCACTCCCAAGACAATTCAGGGTCCCCTGGACAAGGGCAAGGTAGCTAGCCAGCACCATGACCCTAACTCTTCCCCAACTTCAAAGTGCATAGGTTTGGGCTCTTATCCTGTTGTAGCCTCCTGTTGGGGTGGAGGTCAGTGTCCCTTGCTATGTAATAACTCCACCCTGTTTGTTCTCCCCAAGACCACCCCACATGGGAAGGACGGAGAAGAGGAGCTCAGGACAGAGGGGCTCCATTGGCTTTGCACAAGCCTGGGGCAGGATCTAAGTGGTTGGTGTGAGAGGCCCTGGGGTTGTTCACGCTTCTGAAGGAGCCTGTTGTCATAGTGCACAGGTCTGACAGACAGGCTGTAAACCCACCTCCTTGGGTCACTCACAGTCAATCAGCCTCCATATCTTGGTTCTACTAAAATAAACCCAAAACTCTGGCCCAGTCCCAGCAGAGACACTGAAGTCCAGAGTGAGGTGAAGAGTATTTCCTCCTGAACACCAGCGGCATCACACAGAGCCAGGCTTTGGACAAGAACGCTGTCCCACTCGCCTCACCTCCACATACCTTTTTGTAACCCTCGCTCAGCAGCCTCTCCAGAAGTAGCACCAGCTGGGAGAAGGGGGGCCGAATCTCAAACTTCTCTTCCCAGCACTTCTGCATGATCTCATAGCTTGGGGAGAGGCAGAGAGAGGTCAAGGTCTCTGTCTCAGGGGCAGGGCAGTGGCGTGGAGCTCAAGGTGAAGGGAAAGACACTGAGCACCCCGGGGCCTTGTCCTCCCCATTACTGCCTCTCACTGGGAAGCCTTCCCAACTTCCCTCATCCATGTGGTTCTGTGGAGTACAATGCACCATGGTGAACATGTGACTCAGGTTTGGCCAGCAGGGGTTTTCATCCCCTTAGCTCAGTGGCTTAGCTCTAGGGGCATATGACCACAAATGAGCTCTTGAAGGTCGGCTCTGGGTCTTTTGTAGGAACAATGCAAGCAGCAAGATGTCAGGCTGGCACTGCTATTAAGCATGTGAGCAGGGAAGGCTTGAAAATGAGCCCAGCACAGAGAAAGTAGAGACTTGGGCTGGGACAAGAACTTCCTGATGGCACCATTTGAATGCCTGGATCCTATTCTAGCAGGACTTGCCTAGGTCTCTGAGCTATAGTTGCATGCCCATAGTCTGCATCCATGAAATCCTCCCAAATGCATGAGGTTCCACTCACATCTCGTCAGAGGCATGGGCAGGCTGGGCCATGCGGTAGCCCCGCTTGATGGCATTGTAGAACTGCTCGTTCATGGGCAGCTCTGGGTAAGGAGTACCACCTGTCAGGGGGTAGAGACATGGACACATGAGCTCAGGGGTGTGGAAAGCGGCAGGGTGTCCTCCTCTCTCAGGCAGGGAGAGGCACACTAGTCCTGGGAGAGGGGAGGATGCAATGCTCTTGGTATTGGAAAATGGACTCCACACAGAGATGGAAATAGAGAAGCAGAGAATACCAGAGGCAAACAGGATCTGGGGTTTTGTTCGTTTGTTTGGTTGGTTGGTTAATTTGGTTTTCTGAGATGGAGGTCTCTATGTAGCCCAGGCTGGCCTCAAACTTTTGATCTCCCTGCCTCCTGAGTGCTAGGCTTATGGATGTGTACCACCCCACCTGGCTTCAAGAATGCTCTTCAATATCACTGTCTAAACCCCTCGATGCTTGGATGGGGAGACAGAGACCTAGACGCGCCAAAGCCATACAGTGGAAATAAAGTGGCAGAGCTGGGACTCGCCCCTAAACCTCTGTTCCTGTTCTTACACCCATTCCCTGCCTCCAGTCCAAGGAGAGATCAAGAGGTGAGAGCAAGAGAGTAAATGTCCTAATGCACAGCTTGGGCAGGGAAGAAATGGTATACCCAGTGTGAAGATCTCCCAGAGTAGGATCCCAAAGGACCACACGTCACTCAGGGTGGTGTAGAGGCTGTTGAAGATGCTCTCAGGGGCCATCCACTTCAGAGGCAGGAAGGTCTGTGGGGGCAGGACAACCACTGAGTGCACAGAGGGGCCTGGGGGTCAGGTTCCCAGCCCCACCACACCTGGGCAGGAGAAGACTCAGCAACTCCCATGCCAAATCCATCTCACTCCACTCCTAGGCTCTAAGCACAGCTCTGTGACTGTCCCATTCCTGGCCAGAATACTGGGAGGCTGTTTCCCATCTCACTAGCTACAGACATGGCAACCCGTGTCCCCGGAGAAAGTCCCAGGGCGTGTTGTGCAGGAGGTAGGGAGTCAGACAGACATGCTTAGAGCCTTGTCTTTGGTCTCTGCAGTATGCAGCCCCTCTACTACTAAGCTTCAAGACTTACCTGACTTACCATATCATCTGGGCTCCTTTCTCCTCCCACCTGACATCTCCTATAACAGGTCTGTCCTGTACTCACTTCTTGCCTACCACAGGCCCACTGCAGCTGGTCCCTCAGCTGCTGCTGTGACAAACAGGCCTGAGCCTCTCTGTCCTTCCCCACTGTGCACACAGCTAGCTAGCTCCTTATTCTGTCCCCATTCATAGCTGGGCAGTACCAATATCTCTGCTGGCAGGACAGGCCACCAGGGACCCTGCGCTGATCTGTGAGCTCTGGCCACACAAATCAGTGGGAACCTGTTCCCAGGGCCAGAGGCACACAGGGACAACCTGCAGGTGATAAGGGTACTCACGCTGCCTTTGGAGATGTAGTTCGAGTCACGCATGATGTCTCGAGCCAGGCCAAAGTCACAGATCTTGACCAGCTTGCCCTCACAGATGAGCACATTCCTGGCCGCCAGGTCTCGGTGAACACACTAGGATAGGGGAAAGGAGAGCTGAGACTGAGGGGCAATTATGGGAAGACTCTCTGGAATAGGGCTTTACCCTGACCACCAGATGGGAGGGAGCTGCCCCATAGGGCCATGGGAGGAGTCTGGTTGAATGGCCCCTCTCCCCTAAACCCTGCCTTATCCCGCCAGGACCCCACATACATTCTTAGAGGCCAAGAACTCCATGCCATTGGCCACCTGGTAGCTGAAGCCCACGAGGTCTGTGTAGCTAAGCACTGGTGACTCGTTGATCAGGGTGGACCGATAGGTTCTCTCAGGGGCTGGAGAGCACAGAAGGTTATGGGCTACTTTGTGTGCCCTCATGGCCTAGAAGACCCCTGTCTTTAGGCTTGTGGGGGCTGAATAGCCAAGACAAGTGGCTACTGATTCTCTAGGTGTCCCCTTAAAGAAGAATGAGTTCTTAGTGTCTAATGTAAACCTCTCTTATTTTTTTCACTAGCAAGAAAAACCTTTGGCCTCAGCCCTGGGGCCACTGGCTAAGCCTTGCCTGCCTGCTTCTCAGGACGAGACTAGCCCAGGGCCACCTCAGAGCAAATATATCTTCTAAGCCCTAGGAAGCCACCTTTGCCCAGCTCTCCCTTTCCTGCTGGCTATGTTCATGCCTCTGAGTCCATCAGCAAGACCCAGATTAAGGCTCCACTGCAGAACAGCTCTGAGCAGGCATAGCCTCAGTTTCTACATTAATGAAATGTGCACAAGGACAACTTCCTCCCAGAGTTGCTACAAGATTGGGCACGTGAAAGGCTTTGAACGCATCACTGCACCCATGTGAGCCTGTGCAGGTGCAACATGTGTCTACCTACCAGATGGGACATAGTTATCATAAGGGGCCATGTAGTTGGAGGACTCGATGTCTGCGTATTTTATGTCTCCTTTCATGTCCAGCATAGGCACATAGTCCACAGACTCATCCTTGCTCATGTCCATGTAACCACCATCACTCTCCCCAGTCAGGGACAAGTGGCTGCAGGTAAGAAGATTGAAACAGGAAAAGTCACTGACTTCTCTTCCCTTCTCCTCTTACCACTTGCTCAGCCTGGGCCCCATGGGGCCTTGTCACCTGTGGATTTCTTCAGTCACTCACCTATCCTTTCAAGTCACCTGTGTGACCCTGAGCAGGGCACTGGGGCTGCCAGAATAACATAAGACCCAGTGTGTGTGTGTCCTCAGAGTTCACACCCAGAAGTGATTACAGAGCCCAGGACAAGGGTCATACAAGGGTGTGCACATAGGCTTCTTTCTGGCCTGTCTAGCACTACCTAGCCACACCAGGAGGGTGAGGTGTCGCACAGCCCAGAGTGGCAGCAAGGCCTCCCCTTGACCCCTGTGCTACAGCCTCAGCTCCCCATGAAGTTTGGAACTAAACACACATGTGGAAGCAAGTGGGTCACAATGTTGGGGAGGACAGAGATGCATTTTCATGTCCTTGTGTACACTTTTCTAAAGTTACTCTTGTCTTTGCTCTTGTAATCAGCAAAAGAACCAAGAAACGTTCTTTTAGAAACCATTGGAAGCAGGGGTTGGGCTGCCTGCAGGGCACTGGCAAGGCTGGCATGTGGAGGGAACAGGGAAGTGCGGTGTGGAGCCCAGCTTTGTAGTGCCTCATTGCATGTTGGGAGCCTGGCTCTCAGCTCACCACTGCCTCTGCCCCTGATGACCCTGAGACAGGAGACCAAGACACCCAAGACACAAAGATGGTATGTGGGTTCAAGGGGATCACAGATGCAGAGAGCTTTGGACAGAGCCTGGCTCGCTGGGGTAGCTGAGAGGTGACAGCTGACCTCCTCCCTCACTATCGTTACTGTCACTCTCTGATCTAGGGTAGACTGACTTGTACACAACCCTAACTCCAGAAGTGACCACTACCCCACACCCACAGCCTCATCTTCTGCTCCTGGGAGCTTGGCATCCTCATTGAGTGCTGCCTCCCTCATACCTGGGCAGGGAGAGCCCCACTGGCAGCGCATTGCTGTACAGCTCAGCACTGAGTGGGCGGGGCTTGTCAGAGTGGCGCTGCAAGAAGGTGTGCTTGTTGCGGTGCAGGTAGTCCACCAGGTCACCATAGCGGCAGTACTCTGTGATGATGTAGATGGGTCCTGCAAAGAGACAGGTTCAGGAGCAGTCTCTGGGAGGTATTGGGTTGGTGTGAACATTCCTGAGATGATGCTTTTGTGGGCTCAGTATGTGGCAAGCCAATGACGTTAGTGTTACTGCTGTTTTCAAACTCAAGCTTATTTTGAAGCTCAGTCTACATAAGGCAGATAAAGGCAACTGTTACCATAATTTACCGGTTACATTTAAGTTGAACATACTTAAAGCCAATGGGAACTTGTAAATAATAGAAACAAAACTTTTGAAATGAGTGTTTGCTGCAGGCATGAACTGATCTACGTACGCAATGTACTTCTGTATTTAGATTGGTTGCACAATACGAGGAAAATCCCAAATCTCACAATAAGCAGCTGCAAATGGCAGTAACTTTTATTATAATTATTGTTAATATCTTAGTAGCCCAACTTGTAATCAAATCCTTGAACACAATTGGGCAGAGTGACTCTCTTCACTGATATGAACAAAATCAGCCCCTAGGTAGCATACCCGTAGGGCCCACCATCTCGGTGTTGTGAGCTGGTACTTATTACAGTTTTCAAAATGTATTGTGAAAATACAAAATCATCCGAAGACACTTGGATGTGGAAACTGCCAGGACTAGTGGCCTTGAGGAATCTTTTGGCCATGAAGGTGTTGTGATTCTGAGTTTCTGAAATTGCACCCTTATGGGATGCTGATGTAAAGGTGGCAGATAGCAAGGTAGGTACCTCCTTTGGTGCAAGCCCCCAGCAAGTTGACCACGTTCAGGTGGGGCCCGAGGTGACTCATGATTTTCAGCTCGGACATGAGGGCTTGCTTCTCGCTGCTGCGGGCTGTGGCTGAGGGGAGAGAGACTTGGGTTAGGCAAGTCATCCAGGGAGTAGAGGCAGAATCCACTCTGGCTCCTCCCACCCACCCTGCTGTAGGACTAGTGTCCTAAGATAGGTAAGGACCTCACTGGGGAAGAAAGGTGGGAGGAGAGGAGGAAGGGAAGAAATATCTGAAGAGGCCACAGTGAGAAGCCCTTTCGGCATAATGCATTGGGACCAGGCCCCTGAAGGAGAGGTCAAGTGGGGGAGGGCAAGGCAGAATGTGGGCCCAGGTGTGAGGGGCGTAGGGCTGGCTCCCAGGACTCACATTTCAGCATCTTGACAGCCACTTTCATAGTGGCCTGTGAATGGCTCAGACCATGAGCCGTGGCCTCCACCACTTGCCCGAAGGCCCCAGAACCGAGAGTGCGTCCTGAGGTAGACAGAATCCCTCAGTTCCTGTACCACCAGGAAGCTATATCTCCCTACCCCACCTTCCCACCCAAGATTGGCAGTCAACCCACACAGTGCTCAAATCACCTTTCTATGCTCTGCTTAGGAACCTTCCTGCCCTTGTGGCATTTTATCTGGATCCTGCCTGCTGCCTGCCTCACCTGGAGTCCCTGAAAGACCTCCTGCCTTGCCAGGGAAGCACAGCTCCTCTGTACTCCTTCAGACTCCCCAGGGAGGCACAGGACCTCTATACCCCCTCAGACTCCCCAGGGAGGCACAGCACCTCTATACCCCCTCAGACTCCCCAGGGAGGCACAGCACCTCTATACCCCCTCAGACTCCCCAGGGAGGCACAGCTATTCTATACCCCCTCAGACTCCCCAGGGAGGCACAGCTTCTTTGTACCCCCTCAGACCCCCCCAGGGAAGCACAGCTTCTCTGCACGCCTTCAGATTCTCCAGCCTATCCCCAGTACTTCCTCTTTGGCCTGGAAGGGTCCTATATTACAATCTCAGGAACACAGGGTTTCAGTCCTAGAAAACCCTGGGGTCACTTTGTCAATCTATAGAGGGGACACTGAAAGCCAGAGGAGGCAAAACACCAGCCCTAGGCCTCACAACCAGACTGGAGTCACAGCCAGGCTGGAATCAGACCTCAATCCTCCCTCTGCCACCTAGGCCTCTTAGGACTGACCAAGCACAAGCTGGTCCCGTGGAAGCTCCCATGTGGGGTCATAAGGTAGCTGCACAGGGTCCACGTAGATGTACTCGTGACCATCAGAGCTCACAGACTCGATCACTTTCCATCGGATCTCATATCGTGGCTTCTGCAAGACAAGACCAGGAACAGATGATCAGAGGGCATCTTCAACTTTGAGCCTACCTGTCTGACCCCTTAAATGGCAGTAGGGCAGGAGACCCTGAGGCCTAAAGAGGGCAGAGACATATAGCAAGTGACCAACAAAGCTAAAGTCTTCATGTGCTTAGAGGGAACAGGCACCAAGGGGCCCCAGCAGATGGAGGGTGGCTGAGGAGCCCTCAGGACTCAGCTTCTAGAGAGTAGCTGATGGGGTGGCCCTCACTCACTAGAACTGCCTTACCAGCTTCTCTCAGACCCAGTATTCCTTGGATGGGAGGAGCAGGCAGTCCCAGAAAGTGATGCAAGGTAGGACACTGTGTCAGATGTGGGTGGCCCCTCCCTATGCCATGTCTGTCACCGTGGGAATCTCAAAAAGATATAACCTTTGGATATGGAAATCTTAGGATACTGGAGTCACAGGATTGGAGTATTGTGGTCCTGATTCTGGGATCTTGGAAATTTTGGAGCTACAGAATTGTGAAATGTCAGAACAGCACTGAAACCTCAGACTCATGGGGTCAGATTGCATTCCCATGACTCATGGCAATTGCTGTGGGTGAAAGCTGGAAGGATCCTGGAAAGGACAGTCCATCCCAAAAGTGACATTTGCTGCAGGCCCAGATGGAGAAAAGAGTAGGGACCAGGAGAAGACCACATAGATATAGACACACTGCTCTGCACCCCCGGGCCAAGGGTGCTTACCTTCTGCCACAGCATAATGAGGATGATGAGGGAGATGATGGTGAGGACCACCAAGGCCAAAATGGCAGAGATCACTACCACCTTGAAGGGTAGGGCTGAGAACAGAGACCAAAGCAGGGCATAAGCAAACTGCAGCTGGGTGGCTGCTTTCCCATCCCACTACAGGCAGCACAGATCCTTGGACTTGCCCTGCCCAGCACAGAAGCTTCCACTGCCTGGACAGCAGGCTTCACTCTTGCTTGGGCCCACACTCCAGTCTTTCCTATGAACCCAGGGCTTCTCAGTAACTCCCTGCTCAGATCACTGCCAGCCTCCACCTATCCTCAGGGCTCACCAGGCTTAGGTTGGCCTCTGCATAGCTCTGGGCTGTGAAAATCCTCCTCTCATTCTTGAGCATTCCTGTGCCTCTCATGGCACCACATACCCTAAAGACCAGGCTGTGCCCTTTTCTCCTCTGGACTCATACCCTGTTGGGCTGTCATGTTCTAAAACATGTCACATCAGGTCATGTTGGGTCACAGCTCTAAGAGCCATTTCTGACCAAATAGCTAAGGTACTGAGTGACTGCCCCAGGTACTGACTGACTGCCTCATGAAGGAACTGACTCAGAGCTCATGCAGCCCAGAATGGAGCCTGTTTCTCCCAGCCCCATCCCAAGGCCCATCTTGGTGCCTGGGCACTGGGGTGAACATGTAGGGCTCTCTGGGTCCCCTGAGCTTGGAGTCTCCTCAACCCAAGGCTTCACTCTCTCTACTACACACCCTTTCCTTAGCCAGTCCTGACCAAACCCTCAGCCCCCCTGCCCTGCCCCACTGGCCACCCCTGTTGCCCTCTGGGAAGTCCTTTCTTCCTCCCCTGCTCTCCTTCCTGCTTGCCTCTGCTCCCCAGGGAAACTTTCTTTGGTTCACCCCACCCCTTTCCTCCCCAGGGTCACAGACTGACACCACTCCTTTGTCCCTTTTCTCAGAAGCCACATATCTCGGTCCTGGGAAGGGAGCCTGCACTCTCCACGGACCCATCAGGGTTCTCCTAGTTCCCTGTGCAGTGGTACTTGGAGTCCCCCCTCAAGAGTCACAAAAGAGCTTTACTTCTGCCTTTGCTCAGAGTGGGTCTGTAGGTCAGACTGTCACACTTCTGCTGTGCCCACATGCTCAAGGATACGTGTGCATGTGTGGGAGTGAGGGGAAGATAAGGGCATTTTGTTTTATTTTTTATGCATATTCATGTATTGCTTGCATGTAAGTAAGTGCATGCATGTAGTGCAATGCCCGTGGAGGTCAGAATAGGCTGTCAGATCCCCTGGGACTGGAGTTACGGACAGTTGTTAGCTGCCATGTGGGTGCTGGGATTCGAACTCGGGTCTTCTGCAAGAACAACCAGTGTTCTTAACTGCTGAGCCATCTCTCCAGCCCCTGTTTTATTTTATTTTTGTTTTTATAAAATTATTTTTATAGCCAGGCATGGTGACACATGCCTTTAATACCAGAACTCAAGAGGCAGAAGTAGGAGGATCTTTGTGAGTTCAAGGCCAGCTTGGTCTACATAGCTAGTTCCAGGCCAGCTGAGGTTGTAAGGAGACCTGTCTCAAAGAGACATAAAAAAACTTTTTAAAAATTATTTTTATTGTATGTGTATGAGTGTATTGTCTGCATGTATGTAAGTGCACCAGTGTTGTACAATGCCTGTGGAGGTCAGTAGATGGCATCGGATCTCCTGGAACTAGAGTTACAGATGGTTGTTCACTGCCATGTAGGTGCTGGGAAGCAAACCTGGGTTCTCTACAAGAGCGGCCAGTGCTCTTAACCACTGAGCCATCTCTCCAACCCGTTATTTTGTTTGTTTGTTTGTTTGGTTGATTGGTTTTTGTTTTTTTTTTTTGAGCCAGAGTTTCACTATGTAGCCCTGGCTGGCCTGGAACTCACTCTGTAGACCAGGCTGGTCTTGAATTCACAGAGATCTGCCTGCCTCCACCTCCCAAGTACTAGGATTAAAAGCATGCACCACTAGTCCCAGCAGGCATTTTACACTTTCATATTTATTTTTATTATTTTTACTTAAGTATATGTGCGTATGTTTATGTGAGTGACTGCCACATATGTGCAAGTGCCTGCAGAGGCCAGAAGAGAGCATAGGAACCTTTGGAGCTGGAGTTACAGACAGTTGTGAGCTGCTAGGAACTGAACTTGGCTCCCCTGGAAGAACAGCAAGCACCCTTAACCGCTGAGCCAGCTTTCTGTTCCAATAGGGGCATTTTAAAAAGTTCATCCATCTTTCAAGGGCAGGGGCAGGGGACAGTACATAACCAGACACGTGCATGTACAATCCTACAGACCTGCCTACGTGTGTGTGTGTGTGTGTGTGTGTGTGTGTGTGTGTACAATGCCCTGCTTACTCTGACTTCTGCCTACCCATAGCCCCATCCCTTACCACTTCCTTCCTGTTACTCCCCCTTCCAAATCCACACAGTCTGTGCTCCAGGCAAGTTGTCTTTATTTAGCCTCTCAGAACCACTTTGCCTTTATCCTTCTGCACAAGCCCTTTCCTGACTGGAACACCGTTCCTCACAGACCTAGTCATCTTTCAGGGTTTGACATAAAACTTCCTTTTTCTGGGGCACTTCTTTCAAGCCCAGAGTGGCATAGGGCCCCTTCTTCATTCAGGCTTTTCCCTCAAAGTGGTGATCCTGAGCTGGATGATCTACTTGCTTGTCAGCTTCCTCTCTCTGGACTGAGAGGATAAGCAGGGATGGCCCATTGGCCTCTATATGCCAGTGAGAGTTTGGGTCCCCACAACAACTTACTGAATAAGAAAATAGATGAATAATGAAGTGTGCATACACAGGTGCAGGCAGGGAGGAGTGCGTAGACATGCACACACCCCTGGTACTGCACTGCTCCTATGGGCCTATGAGCATGTTGACTTGACTTCCTATGGGTACTCAGGCTCAGTTCCACGTACAGCAGGGTTGAAGCACGGGGGTGAGAGGTCATCAGGGCCAACCAAGGCTAGGGTACTCACAGTGTGGCACCACAGTGACCTCTTGCACATCTTTGCCCTCCGAGTTCTGCAGCATACAGCGTACTGACAGTGGTTGGTCCACGTGGCGCAGGCGAAGCATGCTCACCACCTCGTATACCTGTTCTTCTTCCCAGAAAGTCACATTAGTCTCCAGTTGGCTCTCCTCCTCCGAACTGTTCCCCAGGAGTGGGAGTGACAGCTTTCGTGGACACCTGCCAGGAGAGATAGGGGGATTAGCTTGCAGCCTCCTCCCTCTGCAGATGGGGAAACCAAGACCCAAAGCAGGTGGCTATCACTGAGGGTGGCAGAAATATGGCTGATTCCGCCTGTTGTTGTCTATACTGACCAGCAGAGGGCGCTCCTGCTCCAGAAATGAGAATACTAAATGGTAAACTCCACTCTGCATTTGACACCCCCCACCCCACCCCCAC